GGCTATTAAGGGTGCATAAGTATGGGATTCTGCTGCTTACTCTTGATCTAGAAATGGAAAGGACTGGGTCGTCTTGATGTTGTGAGGACAGGACTGGATCGTCTGGAAGCTGTAAGGGAAGGGCTGGATCGTTGTCTGGATGTGACTTATGCAAGGCTTGTTTTGTCCTTATGTGTAACGAGTAACGGGTAACACTATGGAACGAACAGAATCTATGTGTTTACATTTCTGATACAGGTGGGGAATGTGGCTTCTGTAGTGCGCCATGCCCTGTATGATTTTCAGGCTGTATTTGACATTTTCCAAAATTGATGGCTAATTTGGCGGTTCAGTGCCATGCATGGCGGCTCAGGGGCAATGATGGCGGCTCAGGAGCATGGGTGGCCAATTTGGCGGTTGGATTCATTTTTCAATTTGGCCATTCTGGCGGTTCAGGGGCGTCATTTGGCGGTTGTTTGGCCAAATTGGCGGTTCATCCCCATGTTTTCATTTTTTTTGGCCAAAATGGCTGCTCAGTACCTCCATATTTGAGCCTCAAAATTGAAGAAATTCAATAATGAATTGAGATTCCTCCCCTGTTCCTACTTTTTTGTGAAGGATATCAGAAAGAACCCAATGATTTTCTAAAATAACTGAGCCCCATGGAACAACCCCTTAATTTAGCAACACTGAAACAGATACAGTATCTTCCATGTATCATTCCATGTCTTTGAACCCCAATAAAAAAACCAATCTGACCAGTGTGGTTTTAATTGCAAGCAGATGCAGCAAATTTGGTTTTTTGGCCATGCAGATTCACAGAATTCCCCTGCATGATACACACAGTGTATTGTATCTATTACAGTTCTGACTTGGGGTAGGAAGTTTCCCTCTGATCCAGGTATCTATTTGAGATTTGTATCTCCCAGAGGCCAAATATTGGCCAGCTATTTCCCACCCATCTTAAGATAGCTGGCTGGACTGGCCCACCAAGATTGTTCACTATCCACACATTGATGGCCAGTTCAGAACAGTTCATAGGCCATCATGTTGCTTGTAAACCCTTGATGGATGGTCCAACAGGCCATTGCAGTGTGCATACAACCTGGATGGCCAGCTGGAACAGTCATTGCAGTGTGCATACACCCTAAATGATTGGCTGAACCAGCCGTTGGAGGAGTTTGTGGGCACCCTTATCTAGCTATTCATTGGAGGAGGGTATATACACCACTTCAATTACCAGTCTTTCATTGTCAGTATACACCTTTGATGGCCAGAGGATTCTGAATACACCCTAGATGGCCATTCTCCTGGAGTCTGGACCAGCCATCAGATGATTTTGTGTACCCACATTCTGATTTCCATGAAGAGCTGTCAGAACAGTTGGGGTTTTGTCAAAAATTTGGAGTCTTTTCTCCTAACCTTGAGAGTTGTTCAACCGAGAGCCTATACATATGTATTCTTTAATGATAGAAGAATGCAAAGACACAATAGAGTGGAAATGTGCCAAAACAAAACTGTGGGAATGGAATCAATGGATGTTAATTGTTTCTTTTTTTAGATTAAAAGAGAGTGAAAGCATATGAGGAGTGACAGGACTATGACAATTCCAAATATTTTGGGGTTTGGTGAGGTGGAAACACTAAAGGAACTCTTTCCTCTCTATACTTGGTAATTTTCCCACATTTCAATATTTTTTTTCTTTCATCCTCACTCATAAGGAAAATTTTTTGAGGAGAACTTTTGGCAACAGAAATGATTTTTGTTGGAACGGCTCAGAGGGTCGTAAAAAGAAGGAGAGAATTGATGATGTTTTACTTAGAAGAGACTAAGCATTAAGTAGTCTACGTCATGTGGGTGAGAGAGAAAATGAATATAAAAATGAATAACAATTTTAACATATGCATGAAAAGATGACAGGAGAAAATACTCATTGATAAAGAATAGAACCAGGTTTGAAGACTACAGGGATTTCAGCACTAGATAATAAGAAAAAGTGCCACTCAGACACTTACAAGACATAGTAAAAAAATATATTGTATCATCTAAACATCATTAATTAGTAAGGGTGATAGATAGATTTATTAGGGATGAGAAGAGAGAGAGACAAAATTCCAACAATACAGGTGATTGGTACTTCCTTTTAGTTTTATTCTTATTTGCTGTACATTTTGACCTATTCTAGACTCCTCCTTGCTAACTGCAATCCCCCATTGTATGAGCAGTTTTTTCATTTTATATAATTTTCTCTGCATTCATCTTAATTGATTCCCAAAACTCACAAGCCCCTTGCTTCACAGGGCCTTTCTACAGCCTTGGCTGGTGCAGAAAACAACCTCCACCTGAGCGATTTTCAGGTTATTGATTACATTTAATGGTGTGGGAGCTTTCCAAATATCAGTGGAGTATGTTTAAAACTTGTCTAGGAAAGACAGGTGCCTAGTATCAACTGGAAGGCAATAATGGTTTCCAGCCCAATGGCAACAAAAACACCTCCAATACACTGGTAAGCTGCTTATGAGTTAATTTTTTTTTTTTGGATTTTTAACTTGGTACAACTTTCAAATTTTAAGCCAAGAAATTTTTTAGTCATGTCAATATGAAAAAGCAGGGTCTCTTCTTACATATTTCAAAGGAATTCTGGAAATAATGCTTCTACTGTAACCATGTCACCATGATAATTTAAACAAGACCAAAAAAGAGTTATCCAAGCCAGCAGTTATCTGTAACTAAATTTTGCCACAGTATACCAGATTAAAAAGATTTAAGTGGAAAGAAATTATTATTCATTTGACCAATTCCAAGGCCTTATCCCAATTTTATTTATTCAGCTCATAGATCAAATTATTGGGTGCCTAATCTCAGGTTCAAAATTGAAACAGTGAGATAACTGAAAAATCAACTTCCCCGTGTTGGACTGCCAGTTGCAGTGGCATCCATCAGGGGTCTTTCCTCACAGAAAAACTGCTTGAATTTGGTAGCACAGCAAAAAATAGACTATTAAGCTTGAATTTAATCTAAAAATTTTAAAAATCACCATAAGGAAAATCTTTAAACCTGCAAGCAGTTGCAATGATTGGCAAAGAATTATGAACACTATGGTAAACTCTGTGGTTCAATTATTCTAATTTAGCTCAAGGCCTGTACCATAGCCACCATTTTTGCCAATTCCCAGGTTAATTTACCTGTTGAAGATCTATGCCATACATCACCCTTTATTTGCAGTTTTTGGTGCAAACCCTAAGTTGAATTTTGGTTTGTGAAAAAAAAAATGCAATCAAAAATTTTTCCAGGTGCTATGGTACAGGCTCTTAGTGAGACCCCATTTTTCATTCTTATCTGCTCCTAAGTGTGTTGAAGATTCAAACTGCTTGGCATAAATCTCTAAAAGAAATTGTGCTTAACATTAATTCCTGAACAACCTTCTATATGAAATTATATACACAACCAATGATTTCATGTAGAATTCTGTTTAGAAAAAAAATTCAAAATCTGTAAATGCTTTTTCTCCAGAGATTTCTTTCCTCTCAAATACTAAGTTTTAATGAGTGATATGATGATCTATGCAATCTTGAGTCTTGCAGATACTTTCCAATCTGAATGGTTTTACAAAACATTTGATGGGTTCCCACGCTCCAATGTGGTCCAAGTGTATACACATAGCACACTGGTATAGGGTTCCGCCCCGGACCCCGCAAATCCGGAAGAATCCGGTCAACCCGCGGACGGGTTCAGGGTTTGGGATTGGCTTTGGGAGATCTGGCATCCGGTCGGATGCTGAAAACCCCCAGACCTCGGGGGTTTTGACGGGGAATCCCCTGGTACACCCCGGACGGGGGCCGCTGTGCACTAGGTCTTTTCTTGCTTGACCCCCTTCTTTTGGTGTAATAAAGCAAAACATACACAAAAAAAAATGTGAAAGATCCGGAAGAACCCGGTGCGGGGCCGGATACCCGCCGGGTTTGGCTGCGGGAGGCGTGAAACCCGGATCCGAGGCACCGGGTTGGAACCCTACACTGGTACCACCTTGGTGTACACAAAGGTGTCCTGAGGAAATCACACAGAAAACATCCCAGGTGTGTCCAACTCCATTTGAAAAAGAGATCCACCATCAAAACAGCCTCACAACAAGGCTCTTTTGATACCTTTTGGGACATGGGACAGCCCTAGGAAATTTTCATCCCGGGGCTGGATCTTGTGGTGTAGAATATCAAAAACCTTGAGTGTGGTGAATCAATTTGCATAGCATTACCAGCTCACATTGTGAAATTACACATCACTTTGGTGCTGACTTTCATGAAATTTCATGAAACCTTCACAGATTGAGTTTCAGTTGTTTCCAAAAAAACTTGGTGAAGTTGAAAACTCTAAAAAAGTTTCATCGTAATTAACATCAGCAAAGTTATTTTAAATTTCCCAATGTGAACTGCCCTTTTAGAGACACACTGACGCAGGGGTCAGTCCAAGGGTAACCAGTTCTGAATTTATGTGGATTTATCCCCCCTAGGATATCTGCACTGCTTTCATAGCAAAGCCTTGATTTGTTTCCCGCTTTCCCAAAGCGCAGATACCTCCGGCCGCCTAGAATGATAGGTCTGGGTCATCAATAGTAACTGTCAGCATATACTTGGAACCGAGGGACTAAATGTGTACATGGGCGTCCACCACCCAGAGCACTGCATCCTTGGTCGTCACGGTCATATCAGTGCGATGTAACAGCTCGATTTCAAGGATCCTAGAGACAATGCGGTTGTCGCCGGTGTTGAGAAGCTGGCCGTAGCCGGGGCCCGGGGGTCTAGTGAACCAGTGCGTTCAGTTTACGACCCGAACAATTGCGCGAACTGCTACAGCAACGGTCTAAGAAATTTAGAACCGGGACTTCGCGCCCGGAAACGGTGATAACACACATGGGAATTTACGGAAGACCTGATCGCTAGCTTCCTTCGACGGGAATTGCTGCTTATAAATATACCTCCACTTGTGCCCATGTCAGCCTGAATCCTCCAACAGATTTCCTGGCGAATCAGCTCAGTCGTTTACAGCACGGTGTGCCCAAAACCTTCATAGAAATTGAATCAAATCTCGCTATAAAGCTTGCATCATGCATTTCATTACCCCTCTATCATCAACTGCTGTCATTCTTGTATTGATTATGAGTCTGTCTTCGGATGTTTCGGGCGCATTCTGTCCATCTGCTTCCAAAAGTAATCGAGTTTGTGGTGCCACAGACCCCCAGACTGGAAAAATTTCACAAGGTGAGTTTTGCCTTGGAACTTGGAAACCATCTTTGATGTTTATGAGCTGACTCCTATCTGAATTCATCAATATAAAGCTCAACTGGCTACTGTTACTTCTAAAGAGAAATGCGTACCTTTCACCTTTTTCACATGCAAAGTTGCTCCGTTTGACACCCCAATTTGCTGTTCTAATGTGAGTGCCAAGTTCATCATAATCTCAATCTGTTTCTCAATGAGCCAATTCGTCGCCAAACCACATTCTAAAACTTCAACATTGTTGGAAATTGCAGCCTCCGGATCCATCGATCAAGACTTATAACTTTGATGGATGTAGTGGTGCTCCAGTGGGGGTTACCACTGCCAAAAAACGTGGTGAAAAGCCTCCCTGTTTGTAAATGAAAGTTCTTTTTTTCACTTTCCTATGCATTTGTGTTCTTGTATTATAACTGCACCTTTTTCCTTCTCATGCATCTTGTATTAGAAATGATTTTTCTATGTACATAATTCATCAGTTGAGATACATTCACATAATAAGACAGACATTACAAGTATAGTTACAGTTATATCCATTCCAAATTTCAGATAAGTTGCGCTCTTAATACAAATTGCAAAATAATTTACAAGAAATTTGCTTTAATCAAAATTTGTTTTTCCTTTGTCTGCAAAAGATTCCATTAAATTTAGTTCACTACTATAGTATGGACCAGTTTTGAATTCTACCATACAAGTAAAACATCTTACCACAAGTCCTTGGTCTCCTGATCACTCACTCTTGAGCCCCCATCCGAAAAGCCTCCAGATCTCTGATCACCCAATTGATGTATTCAAAGATTACAGCAGTAGTCTTACATGATCAAAAGGTTGGAAAGTGACATTTAAAAGAAAAGGAAGAGAAGATTTTATTACTAATTCAAAAGGTATTATTCTCAAGTTGAAGGAGACACAGAAGTAACAAACCCTTTCTTCAACATTGAACACTGGTTCACAAATAAGCAATGTCCTTGTAAGTTTTCGTTTTCTGACAGTAAGGCTAATTATATCCTGTAGATTACTAATTAGGTTCTAATTTGTAGTTGAATTTATTGTCCATGTGATAGCCCTGTTCAGATGGGGCAATTGTGTGTAATTCACATAAAATCAAGTCATCATGTTGCTCTACCTGTATTGCATACATTTAGAATCAGACTAAACTAAATTTCAAAAACGATGTTGATAGAGCATTTCTTTTTCTATGAATTTGATTTTGAGTAAGTGTCTGCCTGAATCCAAAACTTAACAGTATCAGATCATGAAGTTCTTTGGCATCAACCCCAGCGGTTTTGTGATACTTTGTGCAACAAAAACATTTATAGCACAAAATCTGATGCATTCAAAGTTGAAACTCATTGAGAAAGAGGGTATCTATTTATCAATGTAGCACAAGTCCACCCTTTAAAAACCTGATGAATGCAAATAGAGTAAGATATTTAGATCACATGGTCAACCAATTTATATCAACCTGCATGCACTTGTGGATCTTATCACAAAGTGGTATGATGGTTGGTGAGGTCTAGTTGAGCCAAGACAACCAAGTCTTTGAAGAGTATTTTGCCCTATTTCCATTCACCAAAGCCAGTTGGTTGATTGAGTGGCCCTTTTGACATGTGTTGCTGCCCTTTCTTAATGGGCCAGTCTCCCGCTCTCTTTGGCTTAGGCCTAGCGGGCTTTGCGGCCCGGCCCGAGCTAGGTATCTGCCCAGATGGGATCAGGCGGGTTGATCGAGGCAAGGGCATTGATTTGCAAGTTGACCGAGAACTCGCAGGAAAGAAAAAGTCAAGATGCTCATGAGAACTTGCAACCAGACCATCAACCAACAGATCAGGCTCACAAAAACACTCTACCATGCCCAACACCTCAATCGGACCTTCGCATCTCAAACCTTACTCTCCCGGACCGATTTCCAAAATAAATCGACAGTCGAACTCAAGGAAGAACTCAATAAACGAGGGATCATCACGTGAGCAATACAATAGAGTGGAAATCTAGGATTCATACCGATGTACCAAGTGTTTGAAACTGATACTTCTTTTTCTTCCCTTTGTTTAATATTAATAAGTGGCTCGAAGAAGAAATCGATCTTGATAGACAAGATTCTAGAGGATGAACAGAGACGGATGAATAGCGCCACCATCCGGGCCAAGAAAGTACCACCGATTGTGAGACGAGGTGAGGCGGCCCGAGCGAGAAGGTCTTCCACGAGCACATTGCCAGAGCCGGTTGTAAGCTCGCCGGTCAAGGTGGCCGCCCGACTGATGAGCGAGCCAGATGGCGAGACCCCCAAGACGGCCCAGATTGAGACCGGCTCTAAATCCGCCTCGCTCGCCTCACCCGGAATCACCCTCAGGAGCGAGGGCCATCAGTCTCAGGTCTGGCCGGCTTCCATCGAGCTCCCGAGCACACCCTTCGAGGAACCCTTGGGAACAATGATCGTAAGGCAGTTCATATTTTTTTGATAATCTGACTATCAATAATCTAACTGAAATTTACTCCACTCTCGTGCCGATCAAACCAGCCATTTATCCCTGATAACTGGAGCTCTCACAAGCAATCACATGCCCCACAGATGGTCGACCTCAAGCCCAGCTCAGCCGAAGTCTCGACGGCTTCCCATCCGAGCACCTTGCCACAGGGCGGGCCTTCACGGGTCGTCACCGACCGCTTCTCCCCTACAACCAAACCTGGCCAATCCTCCTCCTCCTCGGATCCAGCCCAAGAGTTGACGAGCTCCAACCAACAGAGTCCAGACCAGATCATCTTCAACTATCTAGCTTCCATCTCCCTGCCCTCCTCCTTCGACTTCCTCTCCTCCAAGGGCCCTTCCAATCATGATCAGGCTGCTTCTCGTCATCAAGAGCATTTCAAGTTCGAAGACCGCCCGTTGAGCGATCGCGAGCGAAACGGCCTCTATCAGATACTGGCCTTCTTTGGTGGATCCTGGCTCGTCGCTGGACTCTTCGGTAGTCACTAAACCATCTACATATTGAATCATTCTTAGAAAGTACCGCTCACCATGCACCCTCAAATTTCGCAATACATACGTCTACGATTACTTCAAACAACTCAGAAAATTCACCCTCCTCCGTCTTAACTCAAGTTGACTCTGTCACTAGACTTATTATCTATCGGTTTTGTTTATATGGAACAAATTAAGTAAACAGCTTTATTTTATTTAGATTTTGTCTTAACAAAAGACCCCTTCTTTTTGTAGTCCTTTTTTGTGTAGATCTCCTCGATTTTCTCTTTCATTTGCGTCATCCCCACTCTGACTCTGAATGATCAAGGGATCAAAATCTACAAATAAAAACTTTTCCCATGAGATGTGCCCGGTTCTGAAAGGTTCTAGGTTTTGCTCCTTAATTGAGACCCCCCCCCCCCCCACGCACCTCCCTCATCTACCTAGAAAAAAATAGTGAGGGACTACCGACTTGCATGTGGTGAAGTTTTCAGAGGAGCAAGTGAAAAGAGTTTCTCCCTTCGATATACTCCAATGTGCCATTTGACCAATAGAATAGTCTCCAAACTCTCCAAAAGTGGACTTAGCATTGAGTGTTGTTCCTTTGCATTGTAATTCAAGAGTTCGTTTTTTAACAACATCGTGATATTTTATTTGGCCAGTAAGAATTCCTTGTAGACCTCCTGCATGCGAGTGATCAATCGAGACTTGTCAGATCACTGCATCAAGATGGAGAACATGAAAAAGAGAAGAGAGACAGGGCAAAAAAGCACATACATTTTCAGTTTCATCGGTGAAAGGATATCCAAGCTTTTCTAGAAAGCTTTCAAACTTTGTTTGATCGGCAGGAGGGACTTGAATACCAGCGAGAACTTTAGACAAATCACCACCGTGATTCCTATCAAGTTCCAAAAGAAGTAAGTCAGTTTACAGGAAGGTATATATGAGAGGCTGGATCGACAGAGGTAAAAAGAAAAGGACGAAGACTCTGACAACGCACCGATAGTGAAATAAGGAAATGTTAAACTTGTTTGATTCTGATTCTGCCCCGCTCAAGACCACCAAAAACTTCCTCAATGCTCCAGGCCGCTCAGGGAATGCAAATGAGATCAAGCGCTCATTTTCGACAGCAACCCGGCCTATTTAGAAAGCAGTATTAATTAAGGAGGGTGAAGGTACTCCGGATGGAGTGGTAAACATATACTCTTCCGATCAATTGAGTACTTACCGCCGATTAAATAGCGTGCGTGACTTTTGGCCATCTCGTTATTGGAGATGTCTCGGGGTGTCATACCCAGAGGATCATCGGAAATGGACTGTAAGATGCCCTCGATCTCTTGCCGTCTAGCCTCGCCAGGAGAAAGATTGGCTGAGGAGAGAGAGGCGAGACGGAAAGAAACGAAGATGAAGGCCTGGGAGGTGGACGAGAATCTGTAGGAGAACTCGGTGACTGGACGTGGATGAAGGTAAGAGTGAAGTTTGACAAAGCTGTTTTGGACAACGATCTCAGTCTTTCAACCGGAGCTTTCAATCTGCTGGGGGAGAAGAAGGGTTGACCAACCTGCCAGGCTTTTCTGGGACAATCACGCTGAGTAAAGCCTCCCTCTGTTCTCCAAGATCGGCGCGTTCGGCAACGAATCGGAGCCGATCGAAATCCATGTTGGCACCGCTGACGATCGACACAAATTTCTTCCCAGAGCCAATAAGTTTGTTTTGCTGGATATATCGTTTGACTCCGGCTACGGCGAGAGCGCCGGCAGGTTCGGGGATCGATCGGGTATCTAACATCGTGTGAGGAGAGAGTTATTAAGTAAGTGAAAGCAACGGGAGAGGTTCGATTGGATTAGAATGATGAGGTGGAGACGGGCTTACCTTCGAAGACATCTTTGATGGCTGCACAGAGCTCATCGTTGTTTACTAAGACCATTTCGTCTACTAATGATTGACATAGTCGGAAGGTTTCTTCGCCTACCACCCGGACGGCAGTCCCGTCGCTGAAGAGGCCGACTTCGTTCAACGTCAGCCGTGTTGAGGTAGCCAAGCTTTCGGTCATGGCGGGTTGATCGATACTCTCTACGCCGATCACTTTAAGTCCGGGAGGACCGATCTTCTTGACGTATGCCGCGATTCCCGCCAGCAGGCCTCCGCCACCGACACAGACGAAGATCGCATCCAAGGAATGCATGTCGAGCTGGTTGAGGATCTCTAGTCCGACGGTACCCTGGCCTGCAATCACGTGTGGGTCGTCGAATGGTGGGACGTTGGTGAGCTTGTTCTCGGTTGCTAGTCGGCTGCATTCTCGCTTGGCCTCATCGAAGTCGTTCCCATGTAAGACGACCTTTGATCCGAGTCGGCCGACATTTCGATATTTGATGGAAGGCGTGGCTAGCGGCATGACGATCGTCGCTTTGATTCCCAGAGCTTTGGCAGACATTGCGACTCCTTGTGCATGATTTCCTTTAAAATGGAATGAAGTTTCGGATGATGAGTTCTAAGCACTATCACGATCACTCTGTAAACGTACAGCCTACCTGCACTGGATGCGATGACCCCGTTTGTTTTTTCTTCGGGACGGAGATGAGCCATTAAGTTATAGGCGCCTCTGATCTGGATATAGATGAACCAAAGAAGAGGATTTGGATTATAGGTTGATGTGTAATTATGATAAGTTTCCAGGGGAGGACTGACTGACTTTGAAGCTGAAGACTGGTTGGAGGTCCTCTCTCTTCATCCCGATCCAGACACCGAAACGATCGCTGAGATTGACGGCATGAGTGATCGGAGTCTCTTTGACGACCTCGTAGACCTTCGAGCTGAGTATGAGCTGGATGTAGTCTGGGGTGCCATCGGCCAGTAGCTGCCTCTCGGGTATCCTAGTGTAGAGATGCTTGGGTGGGCCGGCCTGGGGGTCATCGTCCTTGGGGGAGGGCAGTGCTGGTTGGAGTGAGTTGGCCGAGGGCAAGTCGCTGGGGCTGCTGTTGTGCCTGCTCGACGCATACAGTCAGCTGGGGTAGATCGACTGAACTATTCAGGAGCCACTCACATCCTATCCTATCCTATGAATCGACTGTCTGCTTTAATGTTGGTTGTTTGGTCTTCCGATGAAAGATTCGTTTATATTCTGGGGAAGAACCACGAGCCAGCCGATCTCACTACAACATATTCACCATGCAACCAACTTGATCAGTCTCACGTCCCGAATCAGTAGCTGAAGCTGTCGATGAACCAGCCCTTCTTCCTAAATGGACTCACCTTCATGTGTTGGTAATCAGCAGGCACAAGAAAATGTTGCAATTCGATACGCACCAGTTTGTATGTAACAACCAAAGCCACAGTGCTGGATCAGGTGATGAGGGTGTGTTTGTAAGCCCGAAAGTCTGGATATATCGGACATCCCAGCGGGCAACCACTGCACACCCTCCAGCCTCCCTCTGGCATATCAGAGATTCCAACACAATCTTATAATAAATTCTTCCTAGTGCTGTTGTTGTTGCTCAGACAGGCTCAGACTCAGGGCATAGCTCAAACATTTTGACCAAGATAACCGGCTCTTCATCATGAGACTTCTTGGCCAGAGAGGCCTGTCAGGAGCTGTCCTAGCAGCATTTCATCTAGCTCGTCATCCATCGAACAATCCCGCAAGTCAAGATCTGTTGATGACCATAACCACAAGTGTTCGACACCACATCGAGGCCATCGTTGAATCAACTCCGCAACACCATGCTTCCATGATGTGATCCGAATCGCAACCCATTCATCTCTCGATGTAGGGCTATCATTTAACAAGCTGATTTCTAAGAAATCGGAGCATTTGCCACGATTCCAGTCCTCCGTTCTGTGTCTCCCAGACTGGCAGTTGGATTGCCCATTTTAATCTTTCTTGCAACGCAAAAAATCAAGTAACCAATTGGTATCCGAAAATGTACCCAACCCGGCATGAATCCAAAGGCTTATTTCAAGGTCCTCTTGACCCCAAAAGGGATCTTACGTCGACGTTTCTCGGATGTTTTATCTTCTAATAAAACTTACTGTACCTGAGAAAATTGCGGTCAACTCCCTGTTAGGTATACATTGGAACATGGGATGGAGAGGTATAGACTCGAGCGGGCGTTACTTTCACCAGAAGGTCATGATAGGACTGGAGATACAAAGTTCAAGTAGAACTACTTTACAACATTCCCTGAGGATCCTGGAACCATACAGTTTTTATTTTGCACACTGTCAAACACTTCCTTGTTATCCTCCGGGAGAAGTTTGTTGACCAGACGCCTGGTACCATCTGGCATCGCTCAGCTGATGAGAATAAGGGGCTCTCCAACAGATTATGCAGAGGTGAATTGACCATACTCAGTAACAAGCTGGTAAATAAACCTATGGGAGGCACTTCTTAATAAACAACCCCTCCCTCAATAAGTGTATGTCCAACCCGAGTCGATTGACCAGTTAATGCTAAACCGATGACTGCATTTTTAGCATCACTCGGGTGCGAGTGTGCATACGACCGGATGATTTCATCCTAGACATGGATGAGCAGAACCACCGGATGACATCAAAAAGACAGCGTATAAGCCTCCGATAGATCTGTTCGTCCAACCTCCCTCTTTTTTCCTGTGTATATATAAGTCTTCCCCACCGGGAAGGATTGGGTTCACTAAACCTGCCATCTTCCCAACAACTTATCAACAAATCCAACAAGCCAAACCTTCTTCGCGCTCATAATAGTCTCATATAACTATACTAGCTAACAAAATGAGATTCACCGACACTGTCCCACTTCTACTAGTCTTGCTCCTCACCATCGCAAGCTATATTGCGCAACGGTCTTCGGGCCCAATTGGCGTCGGCGATGATCCCGATATGGACATGGAAGGGATGCTAATCGATGACGGGCCAAATAACGCCACTAACTCGCCAGCGTCTGCTTATCCGGCTCTCACCTTTACCTCGGCCCTCGAGTTGCAGCCGCCACATCCGATCTCGACTGTGACGACTTCGCCAGTCACCATCCCGCCAGCTACCCCAAGCTCGACATCAATCCCAAGATCAAACGGCACAAACGGCACATCTCCTTCACTTACATCGAGCGGGACCAGCCAAGTCGTGGCAACTCAAACCGGACTGCCACCGGTCCCGAGAACCTCCGGTGCTGGAAAATTGGACCGGTCTTTTTATGAGCTGATTGGATTACTGATCTGTCTCGGGAGCCTATGGGGCATCGATTAGAGGATCAAAGTCACTCTAATAAAAACTCATTTCACTTGTGAGCCGAGTTGCTATCTTCGTACTGGGGAAAATATCCCTACTAACCAGTCCGATGAACGATCAACCAAGCAGATCGAACACTTGGTCGCGCTGTTCGCGCATTTTCACATGCAGGGTCAAACTTCCTAAACCTTCAAGATTGGCGATTTTTTTTCTCTTTCCATCCTCTTGTCGTCATCTTTTCCATCTGATTTATTAGGATATCTTTACTTAGTTCCCGCTTTTCTTCATCAACAAATCTGATCATCTATACAAAGAAAAAAGCTGTGCAAATACGATGATTTCAATCTCAAGTTCATGGGGCTCTATGAACAACACATTTTCAGAAGTACTCTCTGAAATACAAATAATCTACTGTAATGCCCTTTTCATTTCTACTTTAATAGTGATCAATTTTTTTTCGTTCTTGTTCAAGGTTTAGATATATATTTTTTTGAGATCAATGTTTTACTACTACAAAAGAAATGATGACAAAATCACTTCTGCCAACTGCAGATGTAGTATTCTTTCTGTGGGTATAGCTTGTTACAAGCATGGCTAGATATTTAAAGATATTCTTTGGGGGTCTTCTTCTCAGTATCAGAGCTGAATATACCTGCAAGTGGAATTTCATCATGTACTGCTATCCTCATTGCCAAACATGCTAGCTAGAACCACCCAATTTAATATTTTTAGGAACATTCTTTCAAATCAAGACTTGCTTTTTTTACTGCATGATCAGCCACTAGAGTGAAAATGACAGAGTGCATCAAACAAGTTTCCAGCTTTGCAGATATCAAGAAGTGTGCTTAGTTAGATCCATCCCAACTTCAGTCCATAGCAACCCTACTCTAGGTACCAATCAGATTGATCTGTTTGATAACCTACCTTATGTAGCTCTTTAGATTTGTTTGGTGACTACAGCCACCATGAGTTATAGATGTGTACTGTGTGAAGCAAGCAGGGCTAATATTTTTCTTCAAGCTCAGGATATTTCCAAGAAGTTCTTTTCAGACCTTCCCCATTTCTTCTATATCTTGAAGAGTAAGCTTGAAGAGTTCATACCAAAGCCATATGTCCTTGATCATCCATTCCCAATTGCTTCTTCTGAAACTCATACCACAATTCTACCTATCTTTTTCCTGATTTCTGGTTTGGTTTCTTATCTGAATATTTAAATTTTAGCCTTTTGTTGGCCTAATCAGCATGTATTATCCTCTATATAAAGCATCACCACAATTGAATTGGCTATGCTAATCTGATTGGTATTCTAGGCAGTGCTGTGAGAGGCAGCTTCAGAAACAACTGTGCTGTAACAAGGGAAGCATGATTTGGGTCACCTTGCTGGCACATTTTGATTCTGGTGTTGAATGTGACAACAAGGGGATGGGTAAATGCAGGCCCTAAATCATTTATAATTGTGCGATAGAAAACATTTTTATGCTTCTTTTGCAGGTTTGCAATGTGGTCTAGAGATGCCCAATGGGTACCCATTTTGCAGCACCACAAACCCATGGTCAAGTAGCCAACACCAGGGGCACCAAGCCTTGTGGGACGCATTGCTTACCCAAAGAGTGACTGGAACAAGTGCAGAATTGGATGCTCTGATCAGGTTGTACCACATTGTCTCTGACAGGTGTTTACTGAAGGGAAATCTGGTAAATGTTAGGGAAATTTCACCTCAGTTTATACAATTCTCTGCTTTCAATCAATGTGTATTTTAATTGGGTTGATTTTAAATGCTAAAACAAACAGAATATGGTATTAAAATAAATTAAAATGCTAAGGTAAACCTAATTATGATTGAATTATTTTTATAGGATGACACCATCAAAAATCCAAGAAGGCATCTTCATCAAATATTGATGAAAAACAGGTTTTGTAACTGAAACTAGAACCAAAACTGAGTGAAAGAAAAACATTAAAGAGAATAAAGAAAGAACAAATTTTAAAATGATTGAAAGAAAAGAAGATAACATACCATGATGTGAGAGACAGAATGAAATAAATGAGATCAAAGAGAGAAAATTAATATGCACTAAAGTTTTTATGAGAACATTTTTTTTATCAGAGCAAAAAAAGCAGGTTGAATAATCATAAATGGTTCAGAAAGAAGGAGGAGACAAAATTGACCTTTTTTAAAATTGGCGCTAGCCAAGTGAGCACATTGAAAGAGAGATTTGGGGTCATGAGGAGGGAAGTAGAGTGGTTTGGGTAGTTGTTGAGAAGAATTCAAGATCTTTGTGATTGATCATTGAGTGAGAGCAGTGATAGAAAATGAAGAAGGGTAGAGAAAATGAGGTGCAAGCAAAGTTGAGGATGGGCATTTTGGATAAGTTTGAAGTTTTTTTTTTTTTTTTGAGGAGCTGAGGCCAGGCAGATAAGCTGATGGACTTTGAGGTGGTGATCAAGAAGTTGATATGTTGAGATCAATGAGATGAAGCTGCTGAGGGAAGAATTGAACAGTAGGAAGGGGAGGTATTTATACCCAATTGGTTTGTTAGACTTGCAAGTTGTGGTTGATTGAATTTATGTTGATGTCTTCATTTGAGTTGTGGTTTGAGAGTTTAAAGGGAATATGAATTACATGAATGAGGAAGATAACAGTAAATGGGGATAGGGAGAGATGTGAGGAGGGAGAGAGAGATAGGAAGAATTTTGAGAGATGGAGAAGGAGATGGGGCAGAAGTGGAATGAAATCAGATTCAGTGTAGCACAGAGGTGCACTGAGAGCAGAGACCAGAGAATGGAAATTGCAAAAAATAATTTTTCTATATCAGATCAAGATGCAAATTTCAGCTATTCAATTCAATCTTTGATCTCCAACTAGAAGAAGAAAATTTGAATGTAGAAGTAATTGTTTGAGGGAGAAGTACATGACAAGTTACTGAAATATGGATTAACCCCAATTTATTAAAAAAAACTCATTGTGGCAAATGAGGGATATTTTGAAACAACAAAACAGAATGTTGAAGAAAGGGTCCAAATCCAAACCCAATGGTGTCAATCCTTCCGGTATCCTTTTTTATTGAGTGCTTTCCATGCATTTTGTATCATTTTCTTCTGATTTTCTTTCTCTGAAGTTGTATCACTAAGAGTTGAAAGGTTCTTTTCCCACCAAAGTTCTATTAGAGAACTTGCATTCTTGATCAATGATTTTGAGGTTTCCTTTTCTAAAATTAAAAAATTGGCTAAAATGCACTGGGCCTGGCTGAATTTTCTGGCTGGTATTCCAAGTGGGTATTCAAGTACAATTTGTCCTATGAGTGGTATATTTCCCTGGTTATTACCAAATAAAAGAAACTGAAACCACTTATATAAGTCCTTTTCAGCACTATCCTTCAAACCAAGAGCTTTTTCATTGAGTCCACTCAAAGCTGCTTCCTTGTGATAATTCAATAAAGTACTGATTAAAGTTTCAGCTTTTTCTGAAAGAGCACCCACAACAAGATTTTTACTTTTGTCTTTTGACAAATCAAGTCTAATCAATGCTTTGTAGGAATAAGAATCTTTTGGATTACTTGTGCACCATGTAACTGCAATTGGTAAATGATCTAGTTTTTCAACTTTTGTAGATCTGGACTTTGAACCTACAGCTGACATTCTCCTGATTCTTTGGATACCTTGTCTGATTTCTTCTTTTATCCTATCAATTTCTTCAATATCTTGAGGAGAAAGCTTCTCTGAAAAATCCAGGATGGTTGGTCTAAAATTTGCAATGTCTGGTTTTCTGATCCCAGTTCCTCCCAATGGATCTCCTTTATTTCCATTGGGGCTGCTCAAATTCTGTTCATATTTTTCCTGAGATCCACCATCAAGCCTTGACTTTTTTTGAGGATTTTTCATCTGTATTTCAACTTCATGGGTGGTTTCTACATTTGGATGTTTCCCCAGAGCTGAATTGGCATTTTTGATGTTATTGGCATCCTGATGGATTTCAGAAGAGGCCGCTTGTTGGATAGATTAACAACACAATTGATCCTGTCATTAAATTTTTGAATACTATCACAGTACTATTGAACCAATTTTCCACTTACATGTACTTTTTATGGTTGAAATGGAGGTTCCCCCTGGTAGAGGTAATACAGTTTCTTTTTGGAGATACAACTGCTTCAAGTAACTTTCAATTATTTCCTCTGTGAGTAAGAGGCCCTCTGTAAATTTGAACCAATGTTAGCTCCCAAAAACCAATTATTCATGAAACTATTAATAACTTACCATATGGTGCTAAAGGTAGTGGGTTTTGCACTTGTAAGTCACTTTCAAATGCAGAATAAAGATCAATTTCTTGCAGGTCAGTTTTCTGCCAGGGTGTGACTTTCTCAATGCTATTTCTATTTGACAAGCCAAACATATGACCAGGAGCCATTGTGTGACTGTTTTTGAAGGTTGATTGAGGAGATGTGGCTTCATGAGGAGACATTGGAGATGAATACACTGCTTGTAGAAAAAAATAAGAGATGTGAAATATGAAGAAGATAATCTTAGTGTAAGCCATGTCTAACCAGGGATCAAAGATAAAATAAAATGGAAGCAATCTGTATAAGTGAATGTATTTCCTGATTGTGGAAACAATAGGTATTGAAGGAGATTTGGTTATTTTGGGAATTGAAAAATCCCCAATTTATATGTGAAAGATCAAATTATGTCCTAGGCTTTATAGTCTGTATTTTGTTCACAATTAATTTGATGAGATCACTAATTACAGAAAATCTGTATCTTTGTATGTATTACAGTTTTTTACTTTTTGTTAGAACAAGGAACAGGATACTTGAGAATACTTCTTATAGAATGTGAAGTCAAGTAACACATATTGAGCTCAAACTTGTATTATGGAAACTTGATATTGGTAACTTGTGTCATGGACTTGTAATTCTGGATATGCATTGGTCTTGACACAAGCCCCTTTTCCCTTCTCTCTTGGTATGGTCTTGGAGTTGCCTACACCAAGCAAGGGAAGTAAATTGGGGAGAAGTGGTCCAATTTGAGGTGAGAGCCTGGGTGGATTGATGCTAAATTGGCATGTGCAAGATTTCACCTGATAAAAAAACCACCTTCCCATTGCTCCCCTGGATCACCATTGGGGCCATCAAAAAGTTAAGCTTCTCCTCTCTGACCCTGATGTCCACAATTCCCCATATAAGCTTGTGTTTGAAGATGTTGAGTGTGGTTGTGGTTGAAAATTGGGCATTTTTTGCAGCTGGTTTTTGATCATGCAAGCATGAGATGATGTATCCTTCTGATTGTTTCTGCTTTCTGCTCAGTGTGGTACCGTTTCCTTGTGGCTCTTTACCAACCAAACCATGCACTTATCAGCACCATTCCTACTTTTTCACTCTCAAAGTCTTCTTTTGAAATTCCTACCCAAGTGAGACTTGAGGCTCATATGCAACTCTATGGCTCTGAGTCTGAAATTGTATTGGCTGGTGTGCACTGAACAGGTCCATTGATTTCCCAGAGGGTGGCATTCACAGGCAAAAGGCCAATTCTTTAAAAAAACAAAAACAAAATGGTAATACATGCCTTGGATTTGGAAGATCAGGCTCTCAGCCCTCTCTGTGAGACAGAGACCCAGCGGGCCCCAAAGGGGGGGGGGGCTTGTGAGAGGGCCTTGTTAAGCTCAAATGTGCATGATGCTGGTTTAATTGGTGTTTTAAATGTATCACCAGATGAACCTATGTGGATATGTCTGTTCAAAAATGCTCTAGCCTCTACAACGCATATCCACTTTCATAGGATAATTTACATAGGAGAATCAAGTGAATAATTGCCTATACTTAGAGAGGAAGAATGAATGCTTGTTCTGGCAGCCCACATAGTCACTACTTTGTGTGTTAAAGGTGGTCACAGGAACCTGGAAACCCCCTATAAATGTGGGTGACAAAAGTACTGGAATATTGACTAAACTAGGGTCTAAGGGCGGCTTCGCCGCCCAACACATCTAAGTCCAAATACCTGGTCTTTGAGGACCACTGAGACTTGGCTCATACTCTGGCCTTGACATTTTTTTATAGTCATAGAAAATGCTAAAGCAACAGGAAATTGATATCTGTAAAATGGGACTTTTATGGCTGAATCACCCTCGTGATACAAAGTAATTTTTTAAATCAACCATGGACCGCCGCTCAAAATAGCGAGCGACATTGGCTTGGCCACAAGCGCAAATTGAGGGAATTTGCGGGGGTTCAAGCAATGGCTGAGGGGAACATTGGTATTGGTGAAGTTGACAATAACGTGGCCAGAATGCTGGAAAAGGCAAAGATAAAGATCAGATAAGCGGCGCGAGAGGAAAGAGGATGAGTATGACAGGAAAGTCAAGCAGAGTACTGGGCAGGGGGTTGTGAGAGGCAATGAAGAGGATGCTAAATTCAGAGGTACATAGAAATGAGGAATATGCTATATTCATAGGTACATGAGCAAAAAGCGAGGTGGTGCAGAGTAGCGCTTGGCATAAGGGACGTAGAAAATTAAAAATGGGGAGAAAGTTACTTGATATGGTAGGTTCAGTTAATGTTTCGAGGAGAAAAGAGAGATACACAAGAGGAAAAAATCAGAAGAATCGGATTGGGCAAGAGGGAAAGGAACGGAACAGGGAAAACAATCTTGAAGTACAGTCTCCTCCCAGATGTTTATAGCCATCTGTTTTGAGCTCCACACCGGGAACCCAAAAACTTCAAGTCACAATAGTTTGTAGAATGGTGGAAAATAGGTCTCAAAGAATGAATATGAAAAAATAATAATAGAAAACAGGATTTTAAAATTTGTGAAAAAGATAAAAGAAAACCAACTTTTTTCAAAAACTTTAATTTGTTGTTTGAGTGAAAAGTGAACACACAGAGGGCAAGTTTGGAACATGAAAAGAATGATTATAAATGAAAAATTTTGATCCAAAAAAAGTTTGAGTATGGTGGGTGGACACCCTGCAGTCAAAATTAGTAGATTGAAGTACCAGAATGTCACATTTCTTGGTGAATGACCCCTTAGGCAGCCTTTTTATACCACCAAGTAGTCATTTTTTCCAAATTTTCACTTCTTATTATTCATTCCAGATCTCATACTATCACTTCTGAGATTTCATCTTTTCCTGAAAGAAATGTTTGAGCTGTCAGTTTTTGTGATTTTTTCATTTTTATTTTTTAGAAATTTTATAATCTTGTTTATCATTATTATTTTTTCATATTCATTCTTTGAGACCCATTTTCCACCATTCCACAAACTCTTGTGACTTGAATTTTTTGGGTTCCTGATGTGGAGCTCAAAACAGATGGCTATAAACATCTGGGAGGGGACTGTACAAAGATAAACCAGTTGACAAAGGATGAGTTTTTAGAACAAAATTGGATGATGTATCTTGAAAACAAAAGAGATAAAAGGTATATAAGAGGATGGGAAAGATATCGGAAAAACAGTAACGCAGGGTTAACGCGAGAATTAATGTCTCAAGTGCCATCACAATCTGTGATACCTGTAGTTTCTAAGGGTTTGTCGCTTAATGTTAAACTTGTTAATTCATACATTGGGGGACACCAGGGAATGGCACATTTGGGCCCACTCACATGCATTTAGTGTGTATGCTTGGGCTAAAATTCCCTGGAAAGTCAGGAGATCCCCCAGAAGAGGCGGGGACCAGGCCAATTTTAGGGGGTTTTCCCCAAGTTAGTGGATATTCATGCATTTAAAGCCTGTTTGGTGAGTAGCCTTTCAGGCAACCAAACTCATTCATACCACTTTTGTGAGTATGCTTTTTGTTTTTTTTCTGAGGCTTTGTTTGGCCACCCACAATTGTCATAGACCAACATTGCAAATCGTCAAATCAGAATCTAGGTTTGATTCTTTCAGGCTGTGCAAATGAAGCAGCCTGAAAATCCATGTCCATAACAATGTGGCTGTTTGGTGCACCTTGGGAGTGGATGATTGGAACAGTGGTTTAGGAGGACAGGGAGGCATTGTGCCGGTCAGAGGGGGTGGTGTGCAGCTGGGGGGTAAGCTGGAGTGGCTGTAAGGGAAAACAGAGGGTGATGAGAGCACAGAAAGGGCGCTTATGACGCAAAATTTTTTGGGGGGCCCAAAATCTTGGTTTGGCAGGGAATATATCTCATTGGCCATTTCTGTCATAAGAGAGTGGATATGACGTGGCCTCCCAAACACCATTGTGAGGCCCCATCATTAGCTGTCCACCCCCAAAATATTCTCCATGATTGTTTATGACAATCATGGACGGCCAAACAAAGCCTGAAAAATCCATACATTTAGGTCATCCACATAGTTTGGGGGCTTCCAGGGCCATGTGGTCACTCTACCAACATTGTAATTTGTATCAGAATATCTGCTTTTGGTAATATATTTGGAAGGACTTTTATTCATTAAAAATCCTGTCAAAGAAAGTGGGTCTCAGCTGAATGTTTCTTCTGGTCTTCCTAGTGGATATTTGAGCTCAATTCCTTGCATTGGTGGTCTGGTACACTTCATGGCAATGGTCCTTCCCTAGAGCTCCATCAGGCAGGCAGGTTCTTGATTTTCTGTCTTTTTAGAGCAAGCGCAGACAGATGTTGCAATCTTTTGCTCACAAAAATAAAGCCCATGATACCTCAAAGCTGTTGCTTGTAGGAAGGAAGAGTAAAGAAAAATGGGAAGTGGGTGGTGGTAAATAGGTAATTACTTTGAGGTAATGAACCTGGTGTATATTGGAAGGAATCAAACTGCCCCCTCCCCCCCTTCCTAGAAATATTTATCTCTGGAGTCTCAACTCCAAGATGTTTGGTTTGAGAGATCAGTTTGACCTCCAATAAAGGCTTTCGCATTCTTGTCAGGGCTAGATCAACTGCTCCTAGCCTTTTGGTCAGCTGCAGTTCGATCGCTTGCCTTGAAGATTTCCCCCTTCGAGCCCGAAGGAATCGGTACTGGAGCCAATCAGCGCATCTTGATTTTAAAGATCGTTCCACTTCCAGCAGTGAATGCATAGAACAACCTATTTAATTAAGCCCCAACAAGTCCTCTTGAGGAGGCAGGACGAGAGAAGAAGAGAAAACCTTGTTTCCCCAGGGATGCTCGATGACCATGAACAGAGAGTCGGGAGAAGGTCTCTTTCAGCTGCGTCCGGGTGTCCGGATTACCTGACTGAGACTCTTCCATCCGAGTTCTGGTAGAGAGATCCATGGGGATTGATTTGAAAGAAACCGAGATATTTAGGTCATGAACCCGATCTCGTCGATCTGCAAACTGCTGAAATTCGATTGTTACTTCTTCGGAAGTTGGACTGACAGACTTTTGTATTGTTAGCTAGCGAGATATTCAACCCATCAGTTCCTTCCGGATCTGCATGTCCACCGGATATGATTGTAGGGAGGTCCCAATACGGTTTCCGACTGTCATGGAGGCCGATGATTGCGGGATTTGGGATCGTCACAAGGTTTGCTGCCCAGATCATCAGCCTCAGTCGCGGCTCCCGACCTCACCCCTCCTGAATTGATAAGCCTGTTGGGTCGCTCGATGCAAAGGTTTCTTCGAAATTTCTGATCAACGATTCATTCATGATTGAAAAAATCAATCTGGCCTGGTCAGACTTCACTGGTGTGTGCTTGCGCTGGATAAAAGAACGCGAACTTTGTGGATAGTTACTTTGTTACGTATGATGATGATGATGACGATGATGGATGATGGATGGTTTCTGATGGCTTTGGCATAGCGTCTCTCTCTGAGCCGGGTTCCCAACCGGGACCATCAACTCTGTCCATAAATCCATACCAGGCGTCACAGACGCACACACGTTCTTCAAGATACACGGGTGTTCTTCCTTGTGACCACATTGGAGATTTCCAACTAGTTTCTTTTTTTTTTCACCACCAAGTTCGTTGATCAGAAGATCAAGCTGCTTGAGTTCGACTTTGGTTCGACAGTTGGGAAAGGTTACCTATTTTACCTTTCAGTCTCACACTTCCGAGCCCCCGAGCGGAATGCCAAGCCTGATCGATCGATTCAATCCATAGTCCCGTTCCCTCCAGCTACCCAAGAGACACACGACGGAAGCCATTTCAGCTGACCCCCGACTGACTTGTGACCTTCAAGAGATGGAATCCAAGTACATAACCCGCCCACTCAACTAATGGCCATCTTCCAGCCCGCCGGCAGTACTACATAGAGCGTTAAACTTGTCACGGTGTAGCACTGGAGCCGGTTGAGTGATCAAGTAGTTAGGAAGTCATTCAAGGGTGTGATTCGAAGGGCTCGCCTCTCTTGGATCTTGATGAAAAGTCTACATAAAGATTAGCAGATCTGCCTCCAGCCTCTGTTTGTTTCTTTTTCTTCTTCTTCCTCTTTCCCCGCCACTCCCATTGGATTCCCTCGACCACCTGATTTTATCATCTTTTGTTGGTCCACATCCAAGCCACAAGGACCCTCCAGCTGACCCCCATCCCCCAGCTCGATGCCTCTTCTGTCCGTTCTAGTTTCCATCCGTGCTTCTCAAGATAAATAAGGAAACCAATACGAACGACACCATCCACCCTAGGCCCGGATGAGTACTACCATCAACTGATCCACCCTCCACCTGCGCAACTGAACTCATCAATCACCGTAAGATTCACTCATTCCACCCCGCTGTCTGAAGCCTCAACCCTCAGCCTCCCCCCCCCCCCCTTTCTTTTACTTTGAATCATCCCCTTCTTGACTTTCAGCCTATCATAACAGCCATCGCCCCGCCGACGAAGCAAGTATCATTCTCACTGCGTATGATCGAGCTTGACTTTCGGTATGTCCAGAGAGACGAGCCCACGTTTGACGATCAGATGTTTCTGGGCTCGTGCTTGTCAGTGTACATTTGTATGTACATCTTCTCGGCTCGGTCGATGGAAAACAGTCAAGACCTTGGCAAATATTTATATCAGGCCTCCCTTTTTTCCAGCTGGTTTCCTTTTTTCCAGGAGGGAAAGAAGTGGACTCACAGTCCCGGGATGGATGATATAAAGTGTGTACAAACATACACATCCTGGTATGGCTTGGCAGTGTAAGATCAGCTTGGTACATATTCATGTTATATTCCCTCGGTCAACTGTTCAGTTACTGGTTATGTATCACCCTGTATCATCCACCCCCTCCTTCCCCTCAACCGGCCACAGCTCATGAGTCACAGTGGAACGTGCGCTGGAGTGGTGGTGGTGGTGTTGTAAAGGTGCAGTGTGCTGCCTTGGACCTTTAGACCTAACTACTTTACACTAAGGAAGTGCAGTAAGAAATGCATGCGAATTCACTCCTGTAGTGCAGAATCGGTGGTTTGGGATACAATCCCGCTCCCAATCCCGATCCCGCAATCCCGCCCCCTCCACGGCCCCTGAAAAAAAATTCAGA